AATTGGGGCAAAAGTTTGTCAGGGATGGTACTTGGTCCTGCTGTGAAGGCAGAGGACTGGACTCAATGACCTTTCAAGGTCCCTTCCAGTTCTAGGAGATAGGCAATCTCCATTATTAAAAAGATCAGGCAGCTGCTTCAGAGAAGCCCCATGCTGTTTTAAGCAGCTGGCTGCTCCCTGTGGCTCTGTGCCCAGGGGCCAGGAGGAAGGGAAGGCTTTGTACGCTGCCCTGCCCTCCAGCAAAATCTCTCACCTCCAATTGGCCAGATGCCTTTAGGATCTTGGATGGCTGCTGCATCAAAAGCCCTACCCTCCTCCCACCAAGTCACCACCTCTTCCTGCTACAGGGCATTGCCCACACCCTCTGCATCGCATTGCCCACACCCTCTGCATCCCATCCCCCTCCCCAGGTCACAACTGCCTGCCTCCCATGCCCTGCATCCCCTCTTTTACCCCTCCCCTAGGCCAGAATCCTCTTCTGCACCCAGATCCCTTCCTCAACCCTGCACCCCATTCTCCTATCCCAGGTTATCTCCCAAACCCCTCTGCACCCCCACCATCCCTCTCCTAGGTCACAATTCCCTTAACAGCGCTGCACCCCCTTTTATACCCTTCCTCCAGTCAGAATCCTTTCCTGCAACCATGCCCCCTCTGGGTCTTTGCACACCAAACCCCCCACCTCAAGTCACAACCCCTTTCACTAAAACTCCTTCTCAGACCCTACGCTCTCCTGCACTCCAGTCCCTTACACCAAGCTCCCTTCTGCATCTGAACTCCATCCCAGACCCTGCCCCTCTTCCACAGAAAAGGGGAAGCTGTTGTCCACTAATCAAAGTCACATAGTGCCCCCAATCGAAAAGTATCGCCAGTCCCTACTCTCTATATAAAGTTGTGACATCCTTCAAGCACTTAGACTCCCACAATATCATTGAAAAATTGAATGACCAAGTGCTATGGACTAATACCAGGGCTGAATGCAATTAGCTTACAGAGGTAAATGAAAAGGCAAAGTTATTTTTGAAACAATCTTTGATGAGAGCAAAACAAAACCTTTTTTTTTATTTCTTGTAAGTAAACCGAATTGCTGAGTACTTAGCCCAAAAAGACTCAATCATCCTGCCAAAAACATTAGTATAGTCTATCATGTTAAATCTCTCACCCAGTGTTTCCCAAATGGTGTTCCGTGGAACCCTGGGGTTCTGCAAAGTGAAAAAAAGTGTTCAGCGAGAAAATTCCATTACAATAACATTTTATGATTTTTTGTAAATATATTTAAGCATTTATGAATTTTATTTAAAACAATTTTCATTTGTGTTTGCCGTAAGTGTCCCTGTGTAATGCTAGCTTAGCCAGAGTGGGGACGATGATGCCACTACTCAGCATTGAGCTGTCAGCCAGTCAGTGGTGCAATCACCTGTTATGTACCACCGTAAATCCCCATACTCACCCTCAGGGAGTGTGGAACACATGGGTTACTGAATATTAATATACTAGCACCGTGTCAAAGTTGAAGCTTCAGCTGTCAAACCAGTTGCTATTATTAGGGGGTTCTGCAAAATATTTTCACGTTTAAAAGGATTCCGTGGCCAAATAAAATTGGCTTTAGCCAAACTGAGGAATGTAAAACAACAATTATGTATGTTGTACAAATTTTTTTTTCCAGAATTTTTTTCTAGTTTTGCATTACTGAACCACGAACAGTAATGTTAGGCCAAGAGTAATAATTTATTTTCACCTACCTGGTAAAAACTACTTGATAGTATTCTTGCTATTTCTTTAACAGAAAATGGCAGCTCTGCTCACCTGTACACAGCCCAAACTACCCATACTATAGATTTATTAGAAATTGGACTATCATGCTGAGAGGCTAGAGACATGAGTTTTTATCTAAAGGAAATGCAATGGGGAGTTTAGAAAAGTTTTCCAACAGACAGAATAGTTGCTCACCTTACATAAACATGGTTCTTAAGAGCTATGTTGTCCACGTGGATTCCATTACACATCTTCCTTCCCTGGTACTAGAATCCTACTCTTTTAGGATTCTGAACTATCAAAGGAAGAACTGAGGGACAATTCAGGCCACACTACACCCAGATAGAAAGACCTAATAACAAGCAGGATGCAGGGCCCAAACTCCAACACACAGTGCTGGCCAAAAAAAAACATGTAGCCCAAGAATGGCCATAAGGATAACACATCTTAAAGAACCATATTTACTGTAGAGAATGGGGGAAAGGGGAATCCTGCTTAGACTGCAGGAGAACCCTACCAAATGACTGTTTTGAAAAGGCATGGCCCCAGATCCATACAGTAACAGCTAGTACAGCTCCTCCTGTGGAAAGCGTTGATGTGGATAGGTGGCTCAAACCTGTTAAGGTTTGTGTTCTTATGTTTCTGCCTGACCGTTAACCCTTTCAGCAAACATGAATGACAGCATGTTCCTGATTTTGTCCTTTTAAGGCAGGACTACTCAACACCCAGACCATGGTCCATTTGGGGGGCTGGTGTGGCCCATGGTGGGATTTGGATTTACATAGGGCTCAACATACGGTGGTGGGAGCCAAAATAAAAAAAAGTAGTCAATATAATGGTCTTGTTGATAATGCGTGTTAGTAGTTAAATTCCTAGACTGTCATTGCTCATTAAAAATTCTGTCATAGGGATAGAAATCAGGTAAATATTGCATTTTATTAATATCAGAATTGACTTACATGGGGCCTATGTGTTGTGTAAGAAGCTACTTGCTTGTGCACACACACACACACACACACACACACATGCAACCACACTTAAGTTGTAGCCCTTGGCATAGGCTGCAAGTATCATTGTGGCCCCCGGGGCTTCCAAAGTTGAGTAGCCCTATTTTAAGGTATTCAAATATCCTTAAACTTCACATATTTGATGTAGTACTAGTTGAGGCTTGAAGAAAGCTAGGATATGAATGGAACTCATTGTGGGCAGATACAGTATTTGTAATTACGCTTCAGAATAACTGTCTTTATGATACATTGTATAAGGGGAAACCTGTCCTGCAGTGTCAATTCTCCCCTACCCTCCAACGTGATGTAACAGGAGTCAAAAAGCCAGTCTTCATTGTTAGGTAGTAAAGGGAACAGGTGATTAAGTTTCTAATGTTTCAACAGAAGAATTCACCAACAATATTAATATTACACTGATGTTACAAGATGTATCAGTGAAAAAAATTGATAAAGAACCTAGATTAGTCCATCGGGGGGGGGGGGGGG